TGTTAAACAAATTTCTATCCATGTTCATACTTTTTTCTTCTATTATCTTTATCCAGTTTTAGGATTAGCACAATGTTGATTTCCTAAAATGAAGGGAGAAGTATTTCTTCTTTTTTCTGCTCATCACGTTTTTCTTACAGCACTGTCATTAAGCGAGGCTAAATTATCACTCTGTTCTCTCCAGTTCTGTGCTATTCCTGTGTCCTAGTTACATTGGAAATGGTAACAGGAGGGCAGATGGTCCTGGAAGTGTTTAGTCTGCCCAAGAGGGGCCGTGGTTAAAAAAGAAAATCACTTAAACCGCTGTCTTACCACAGTGGTAAGAAGTTTGTTTTGTGCTAGGCCAATTCTAGAAAAGAAACATTTGCAGGCCAGCTCTTTTCATTCAGAATTAAAATTATTTTATTGAATCCCATAGTAACATATAGATATAAATATGTGTATTGATACATACACATAAATCCTACTATACATGAATGTCAATAAGAAATGTAGAGGAATTTTTGCCATTAAGTTACTAATAAAAATTTATATTTCTTAATATGGTGGCAACATTGAGGCAGCTTTCAAATTTTTATTGCGAGCAACAATAAACTATACAATACTCCTTATCATAAATGCCATACAGCAAACTTATTCTTGGAGAATATTCACACTTTCTTTTACAGAACTCTGATGTTCTTTGTCATTTTAGGGTTGCAGTGTAGCACCATGTGAATGTTGGCTGATATTTTTTGGTTGCCTTATCAAGAGAGGTGGGATAATTAACTTCTTTGCTCATCTGGATAATAGTTTTGCAATGCTGAAAAAAAGGTCTCCTGGAATTTTCATGCTATTTACAATTCAGTACCCACAGGCACAGCACGTGACTAAGTTTAATCTGCATTGCTAACATATTCTCCACTGCTTTTTAAAGGTTACACTATCCATAAAGTGATAAATCCGGCCAAAAACAATGACTCATTTATTGATTTCTATGGTGTGTACACATTCAAATCACCAACAAGATTTCGGGGAATGTGGGGTTGGTGTCACACATTAAATAGTACTTCTGCTGCATTCGTACATTGGCCACACAAACCTTTAAGAGCAGACAAGACTACACAGTAAAAAAAAAATTAGGAAGTGATACGTTTTGAGTGTGGATTTCTTCTTTTCTGTACAATTAATTACAAGCTTTTATCATGTGACTTTGGGGAAGGGCTTCATTAGGGAGTGTGTGTCAGAATCCTCGAGCGTGTCACGGCAGACACTCACAGCCATGGACACCCCCACCAGGCTTCTGGCTGCCATGGAAGATGCCAGCAAGAGATGAAAGGGCAGGAAGACAGCAGGCTGAGTCTTCCTCCTGCTGCTCCTTCTCCTCCAGGGCCTTCCACAGCTCCAGGACCCTCCAGGCTCAGCCAACACCCTAGGGTGCTAAGGGCTTCTTGGCTTCCCTCTCTGCATGGTCCCTACCACTCCTTCCTCCCCCTCAGACATTTGTGAGTAGCCTTCTCCTTCCATTTCATAGACATACCCTGACTTTCGAGGTTTTCTGTTTCCTGGTCAGAACCTGCCAGCTCCAGTCCACTTCTATGGCCAAAACCTCAGATACTTCTACTCTCAAATGTAAGAGCTGTGTGTCCTTGGGAAAGTTACTCAACTCCTCTGAGCCTTAGTTTTGTAAGAATTAAGTACAATGCAGCAGAATATTATTTTGAATGATTAACGAATGGCAGTTTTTTCTCTTGCCATTTCCTGCACCCTCTCTTTCCTAACTGGGCAGCTACATCCTATAGCAGTCATTTCTCCAGGACAGGGGTTAAAGAAGAAGTGGGGGGAAGGTTTTGAATTTCAAATCCAAGACCATGAAGGGCATGGGGCAAAGAATACCCAATGAGTCAGAGCTAAGCATCCTGATGGTGGACCCCTCGGGCCTGGAAAGGTGGTGGCAGAACCCTCAATAGCCTAGGGGAATCATGGTGCCCTCCATCCCAGTGTGGCCCAGGAGAGATGCTCAGACTGGGGTAGGCTGGGTGACCCCGCCACTGCTGCACTTCACGAGCAAGAGCCAGCTGTTGGCATGCACTCGGACGAAGGGAGAAGGGTGGACCCACAATGAATAAACCCACCCCCCACCCGCAGCCCACAGAAAGGAGAGGGGATCAGCGAAAGACAAGTTCCTACCACCCGCAGAGTTCAATCTCTGCAAAGCAAAAGCCTGCTTTCTGCCCCGTGTGTGGTCAGAGACTCGGTTTGTGTCACAAAGGGAGCCCTGGAGGCTTTCTCGGGGGACCTTCCTGGACCACCCTGCTGGCCGACCCACTTCCATGCTGTCCGCAACATCCACAGACTGGATCCCCGCCATGAAGGGCCCTGTGGCCGGTAGATGACTCTTCAGGCCTCCCCTGGGCAGATTCATCCCCACCCAACCAAGGGCCAGGTGTGTTTGCTCCTGTGCCCCTCACTGCTACTTATGCTGCCACTGTCATCCGTAACTTAAGTAACTGTCATGAAAAGTACTGAAATGCAAGTATGCAAAAAGAACTGTGGTTTCTATGGCAATTAAATCAAGTGCTTTCTTAAGGGCACACTGTTGAAGAAAAGAGAAAATGCTGGCTGTCACACCAGATGCGCATATGGGGGCCATGGTGATTGTAAAAGTTTGGGGTAGATTAGGTATCTAGAAAGGTCCTCAAAGCTTTTTAGTTCTTTCTCCAACGATGCTGTAAAGTGCATTGTCCCTCAAGGGCAGTTTGTGTAGGATAGGAAAGAAACTAGAACTCAAGTCAGCCTGTATGGAAAGAAAAGTCTACCCTGCACATCTCAACAGAGGGGCACAAATGGAGATGTGTCTACACTAGGGGATTTAGCTCAGTGGTTTTGCCACCTGCCTTGCAAGTGCAAGTTCCTGACTGAGTTCAAGCCCTGGTACCAGAGGGAAAATAAAAGAGACTTGTAGAGAGCCCAATAACTCCTCAAATGTTTTGTGCTTTCAAAATATTTTAAGATAAAGCTAATTTGTTTCACTTATACCATTAATTTCTTTGGTTCATTGAAAAGAAAATTTTCTCCTTTTGTTTCTTCTTTGTACAGAGAATTTTTTTTTTGTCTATGACTTGTATTCTGAGTAACATTTTGGCCATTTTTTAAAGATCGTGATACATAATATATTATTAACCATTGTTATTCTCTTATTTTGTTATGAAATTTTGTTTTTCATAAAAACAATTTTATATTTTATCCATATTTACTTGTATTATGGTAAAATAAAAAATTAAAGAGTCCCTAATGCTCACATACATGAGAATATGTATACATGTGTGAATACAATGTATTTTACAGGAATATATAACTTTTTCCTCTTTGTGGCGCTAGCGATCTAACCCAGGGCCCTGTGCACGCTAGGCAAGCACGCTATCTCTGATCTATATCCTCATTTCTCCCAAATTTTAAAAATAGAAAAGTCCCCAAATGTAGCACCTCAGATGAGAAGTATCCCACAAATACAGTACTGAGGTTCGCCGCTACTCAGAACGTCCCACTTAGTGGCGGCTTCTTCTTCATCCGCGAAAGCAGAACTTTTGGGTGCCTTAAGTAGGCAGTGCGAGCCCTGTCGGGCCAGCCAGCCACCGCCCGTAGCAAATAACCCAGCGGCTGCGCCGCGCAGCTGGCGGCGTCGCGGTCACCCCGGCAGGGGGCGCTGTCCGGCCACAGAGGCCGCGCCGGGCCGCGCTCTGATTGGCTGGAGGCCGTGGCCAGCGCCCCGCACCTCCCGCCCAGTCCGCTAAGTGCCACGGCTCAGCAGCGCCGGCCCAGTCTGCGGGCCTCCGGGGCGACGGCGGGGCCGGCGAAGCGGGGCAGGCGGCGGAGGGGACAAGATCCGGGCAGGAGGGCAGCGGGCGGCCGGAGAGCCCTGCGCACGCACGAGATGCTGTCGTGGCGGCTGCAGACCGGGCCGGAAAAGGCCGAACTGCGGGACCTCAACGCCCGGCTCCACGACTACGTGTGCCGGGTGCGGGAGCTGGAGCGCGAGAACCAGCTGCTGGAGGAGCAGCTCCGCGGCCGGCGCGGCGAGGAGCAGCTGTGGGCCGAGGGCCAGGCGCGCTTCGCCGAGGAGGCGCGCGGGCTGCGGGCGCAGCTGGACGCGCTGAGTTGGGAGACGGCGCTGGCCGAGGGCGAGCGCGACGCGTTGCGGCGGGAGCTGCGGGAGCTGCGGCGGCTGGGCGCGGAGGAGAGCGCTGCCCGCGGCCGCCTGGACGCCGAGCTGGTGGCGCAGCGGCGGGAGCTGCAGGAGGCGCTGGGCGCGCGCGCCGCCCTCGAGGCGGTGCTGGGCCGGCTGCAGGCCGAGCGCCACGGCCTCGACGCCGCCCGTGAGCGCGCCGTGCGGGAGCTCCGCGCGCGCGCCTCCGCCCTGACCGTGCACTTCCGAGCCCGCGCGCGCCCCGCCGCGCCCCCTCCGCGCCTGCGGGAGCTGCACGGCAGCTGCGCGCTGCTGGCGGCCGAGTCCTGGCGGGAGAGCGTGCAGCTGTACGAGGACGAAGTGCGCGAGCTGGAGTTGGCGCTGCGACGCGGCCAGGAGAGCCGGCGAGAGGCCGAGGAGGAGGCGCGGCGGGGCGCGCAGGAGGCCGAGTCGCTGCAGCGCCAGGCCCTGGAGCTGGAGCAGCTGCGCGTGCGGCTGGAGGAAGAGCTGCGGCGGCTGCGCGAGGAGCACGGGCTGCGGGCCGAGGAGCGGCAGGTCCGTGCCCGGAGCGGCGCCTCCCCGCCCCGCCCGCTCCGCCCGGCCCTCGGTGGGGGTAGGGAGGCGGCCGGGTCCCCCCTGGGTGCGGCGCCCAGGACGGGCAAAGCTCGCCCGGAAAGACCTGGGAACCCGGGCGCCGAGAGCCTCTTTGCTCCGTGGCGGGACCCCAGGGCCCGGGCGTCTCCCCAGCCAGGGAAGAAAGAAGGGCAGGGTCCTTAGGTCCCTTAGGCTCTCGGGACAGACAGGTCCTGGTGCACAGCCCGGCCCCATCATCTGGTTAGGTTGGTAGTTAACTTCAGATCTCGCCGTGCCCGTGGTCTGGATGTCCTGACAGCCACTCTGTTAGCCCCGGGCTTTTCTTTCAGTTTCCCGTGCTTCTTAGACCTCGTAGACAGACCCAAAAGTCGACCGAGAAACCTGCCTGACTTCCAGCAGTGACGGTGCGTTCCCACTCGGATAGTCTGCGAGCTGGGAGGTTTCAAGACAATCGTAGGTCCGTACGTGGAGGGCGCCCATTTTAAGTTAGTTTCCAAAATGGGTTTTCTTTTGCCAGAATGATTTCTCAGCTGGAGGCAGCTGGTCGTGGCTGTCTGGACTTTTTACACCCCGCCCCCAGGGGCACCGACCACGATCAGAAAAGAATCGGAGGTATTTTGCTCACAGTGTTAGCTGATGTCAGCTCCCAGGGTAGTGTAAAAGTGAGGGAGACAGGTCCCGGTGGCGGGATGTTATTACAAGCACGGACTGATACAAACAGTTCCTATTTCAGAGAAGCAGCGTCCTCCCCGCTGACACCCGAGGGCCGCACCAGTGCCCAGCACCCAGTCCACTGCTGGTGTTTGGCTCCTGCCTTGCCCAGCCTCGGCCAGAATTGGAAATAGTCCCAAATCATCCTATCAGTAGTTCCCAGAATGACAGTCTGAAACAACACGGGCACAATATCAGGAAGATTTGAAGACAGCAGTTTGCAGCTGTGAGCTGAGGATTCAAGAGAGAGTAATTTGTGCGATTTTAAAAAATAGAAGGGAGCATTGAGGGAGCTGGTGTGGAGTGACTGGCGATGTGACAGGCAGCCACAAATAATCACCAACGCTCTACTGATTAGCTCTTAGCCCCAGCACTGCACCAGGATTTCAATGTTCAAAGCCCTGGAGAGGAGATGAGAAACCATAACGTGACAGGGGACTTAATCTCATCCTTTACTTGGCTCGTTTCAGACCTTGAAGCTCTGGCTTCAGTGTTCCTTTTAGCAGCAAAGTCCTTATCCCCCTGACGGTTCCCCCCTGGAACCCCGAATTTGTGACAGTGAAAAGCAGACTTACCCTGATTGGAGGACAACGTGGGGACTTGGAAGTGGAGTTAGAACCACTGCCCACCCTTCCTCCATTCAAGGCCCTGGGCCACCCAGGGAAGGGCCCTTCCTGAGGTCACATAGGACCCAGCTTCCCAGCCGGCGATACCCTGTCTTGGAATTTGCTCCTTTCCCCTAAAAGTAGAAACCAAGGACAGTTGGTAAGGACGTGGATTATTTCCAGCTCCAATTTGTGGAGGTTTTGTTTTACTGGATGTTACACTACCGTATGCAATTCCTGGTTGGCTTAAAGCAACCATATTTTAATCTACATTCTGAAAGATTTAACACCAATCAAAAAAGCACTCAGAACTACGTGGAGTAAGAATCAGTGATCTAACCCCAAGCCTCGAATTTTAAAAAAATTCCACAGATACTCAGGGGAGACAGAAAGTATCCTTAAAACTAGGTTAATTCCCATGCTGAGTGTTTTATTACTAACAGCACTTTCCGTGTGCTTCTGCTCAGTTAGGTCCATTTTACAGATGATGAAAGGGAGGCAACATGACCACCTGGTGTGAAGGTGGCCAACTACGGTCCCCTGCCCAGGCTCCAGTGCATGAGCAACTGATCCCTGGGCCCATTTCCTCTCATCTGCCTGCTGTGTCCAAGAGGAGCCTTTAGCTACTAGCACTCCTTATTCCTGGAAGAATGCTAACTGCTCCTAAGGCCCAGCCCAGAGGTGCCTCCTCCTAAAACCCTGTGGTGCTTTCAGCCCCCTGCAGCTGGCTGTTGTCAGAACAGTTTTAAATGAGATCTCTCCCATTTACCTTGTCCCCTCAGAGGACCCCCCACCGGGAGACAGGAGCAGGCACTGTAGGCAGAGGAGGGGGTTGGCACCTCGCAGCGCCCAGTGTCTCCCTGGCCTCTGGTCCCCTCTGCAGCCTGAGGCCCCTGCAACAGGTGGTCCTTCCCAGGTGGCTGCACACCTCTACTGCCCCATGCCGCAGGCCTGCCAGAGATGTTTGCTGCATAGACAGTCAAGTTCCCAGCACTTTACATGTGAATCAGCTAAAACATGTGACCTCTGTCTCAGGGTTTTGCAATATGAGGTGAGAAGGCTCCTGCTTGGGCTGGAATTAGTATACTGCGTCTGGTGTCCCAGCGCTCTGACCTGGCCCAAAGCTGAAGCTTCACTTGATCACCCAGATTGATATGGTTTCTATGGAGACTGTCAGGGACCAATAAGTTTTATGTTCCTCTGTGCCTGCTTCCAAAAGTCAACCAGTTTTCCTTTGACAGTTGAGGAAGAGTTGAGTCAGATGGAAATGTGTTGGCAACTATTCTTGCTTCGACTGAAGCAGTTCAATTTTCCTTTTCATATTCTGTGGCATGCAGAGCTATTCTGTGTCCTCGGTGGGGACAGAGAAACCCCCTTTGGCACAGCTGGGGAGTCTTGACCTGTGGGTGGAGAATTGAGTTCATATAATATTTTTTTCTAAGCAGTTTAGTGACACTTGAACTTATTTGTGAAGAATAAATGACAAATCTTCAACTTTTAATGCTTAGATCAAATTTTCTATATTCTCTATTATTTGTAATTGTAATTTAA